AGAGAGAGAGAGAGAGAGAGAGAGAGAGAGAGAGAGAGACAGAGAGAGACAGAGAGAGACAGAGAGAGACAGAGAGAGACAGAAAAGCCAGCTGGGACCCAATGGCGACTGTGTGAATTTGGGGAGAAGTGACTTCTCCTTGGCATCATCTTCCCACCTGAGATTCACTTTCTGACTTGGGAACATGATCCACAGAGATCTGAAGGGAAGGTGTGTGGGGGGGTGATTTTTGTCTGTTTATTTGTTTTTTTGGTACCGGGAATCCAACTCAAGACCTTGCGCTTGGAGGCAGGCAGTGGGACCACTGAGCTAAATCCCCCACCCAAAAGAGTGTATGGAGATAGTTCTTTGTTTTTCTTTTTTATTTTTTGTACCAGGGATCGAACTCGGGACCTTGTGCTTGTGAGGCAGGCACCAGAGCCACTGAGCTAAATCTCCAGCCAAGGGGGGGTGATTTTTGTAAGAATGTTAATTACACAATTATACAACTGAGTTATATAACCCAGTTTCAGGAATCACAAAAACAAACAAGGAAGCAAAGGGGCCATAGGAATTCTCCCAGAAATATCCTGTCCACATCTCTCTTTGGAGCTAGATGGGCAGAGATGCAGGGCCGGTTCCTCCTGTCGCCCATAGGCATCCTCCTGGAAGAGCACCTGTCCAGCTAAGGTCAGAGGACCCAGGGCCCAGCCGGGAGGGGAGGGCTGCACTGGGTGGCTACAAACATGGGAGCCCACTGTGTCTCTGGTACTGGGCGCTGGACCCAAGGCTTTGTGCATGCTGGCCAAGCACTCCAGCACTGAGCCACATGCCCAGGCATTTAAAATAGTGTTATTTTGAGCCATGGTCTTGCTGCATTGCCTCAACCTCTCAAGCAGCTGGGATCACAGGTGTGCACCACCATGCCTAGCCCCAACCCACTCTTGGAGACAGTTTTACTCCAGACAAGAATGCTATTTTGGTCTGCATTCTTGAACAAGTTCTTGATCTATTACAGAATAGAAGTAAATGGTAAATATGTCTCAGCTTCATTATATTTTGGGCACAGTTTATGCTTTTTCTAGCTTTGATTTTGACTTAAAGAATGTAACAAAAAGAAAATTCTCCAACCTTCAAATATTTAATGTGTAAGAAATAGGTTTATCTGGGCATGGTGGTGCATGCCTGAAATCCCAACACCTGGGAGGCTGAGGCAGGAGGGTCACAGTGAGTTTGAGGCCAGCCTGGACTACACAGTGAGACCTTGTCTCAAAAGAAAAAACAAAAAAAGAAATAGATTGTAAACCATCAACTTCCTTTCAATGTTGTATGGCCCAGGTGTCTTAAAAATGAAAGAAGGTTACAAATTCCCAGGCATGCTTCTCCATAGAGTGGACAACATCCTGATTTGCTTCTGAGTGTCGGCAGGTAAGGGGCCAGCTGGCCTGCCTATGACCAACTTTGTAAAATCGAAATGAGAATCCAAAAAGTGCCCTGCGTCCCTTGCCAAACGTGGTGGTGGCGCAGGCCCATGACCCCAGCACCCAGGAGGCAGTGGACTGAGAGTTCAAGGTCAGCCTGGGGGGACAGCAAGACCCTCTCAAACAGACAAACAAAAACCAAACCAAACATCTCTTTCCAAGTTAAAAAAAAAAAATCAAGAAGGAGGAAAATAACACCCTTTAAACAGGAGAGAAAATACAGATTTTCATGTTTTGATGAAATCTACTCACTGCTAAGAATGATCATCACGAGGAAAGTGCTGCACAGACTCCAACTGAAGTAGTTAAAACAGTAGCTACTGGTGTTCAGTAAGGTTTCAGTTTTCCCACTCCACTTTCAGTATTTTCCAGCTCTAAGGAGCTGCAAGTATTCATGCCCGTGTTTTTGCTTCTAACCTGAGCGTGGATTAGCGTGGCAGGGAGACACTGGGGACTGGGACAACCACAGGGCCCGGGGCTGCTCAGTAGAAACAGGACTCTGGCCGTGCTCGTGACCCCAGTCTTCCAGCAGCCACAGTAAAGATATACAGCACAGCAATTTTATTTAACCCAGAGGGGCCAATGTATGACCATCCTGACACATGATCAGCAATTAAAACGACTGCTTTGCTTCTCTCCTCATACTGAGCCCTGCAGTGTGTGCCTGTTTATGCCTATAGCACGGCCTGCTTCAGGCTGGCACCGTCTCAAGCACTCTGCACACACACGTGGCTCGCAGCTGCCGTGGGGACAGCACGGCCAGGACTGGCTACATTGTGCTCCTTTTAGTGCCTCATCCTGTCTCATCAGCGGGGATATATGATTTTCTTAAATCAAACAAAAGAGATTTCAATAAGCTCTCTCTATGTAACTGTGCTCCTAATGACACTGGCACTTATAAACCACAGGTAAAAGGTACGCACTAATAGCTTAGTTTCAGCCAACTCACTCTTTACCTTGCAGAATTTTAGTGCTAGTTGTGTTCAGGAATTCTTTCCCAGGCCAAAGAGCGCTAAAGTTTGTACGTCAGAAAAGCCAGTGTCCCCAGGCCATTTAGGGTTACGTCTGTTTCCAGGTACTTGAAACCCAGAAGAACACAGGGCCCAGCGCTGCTCAGGCCAAGCAGGACTCTGGCCTGGCCCTGGAAGGCCTGTCTCTGCAGGGTCCGACTCTGGAGGAAGAGCCGTCCTGGGAGAATCCAGATCCTGCCTAAGACAGTAGAGCTGGACCACAGAGCGGGCGCACCATGGGCCTCCTACAGAGGCCCGCCTGCCGCCAGGCCCCGGCCCAGACCCTCCCAGAGGGACAAGGACCGAGCAAGGGATGTTAATAGCTGCCAGGAGAGCTGAAGGGAGCATCTCTGCATCAGAGCAGAAGTAAGAGGGGTCCAAAGGGAAAAGCAAGATATTACCGCTCAGCTTTAGCTTGAGCTCAAGTTAACATTTAAAGAATAGATCAGAGTTGAGGTTATTATTGTTAAAAATGAAGAAACACATTTGCAGGCACATATTTAGTCATTAAAAATCGCTTCTAGTAATTTGATCACTGAGATGTGGAGGTAAAATGTTTCCTATGAGACTACCAAAATTTAACTTTCGCTCGAATGAAAGGCACTGGCACACATGGCGTCACCTCCTGAGCACATGTATTCTTAGCTGCTCTGCAGAGGGCACCTCCCCGCTGGGCTCAGTGCACTGTTACCTGACGAGCCTCGTCGTTCACTGTCTTTCTCAGCATCTGCACATCTTCAAACAGAGGCCCATCTGTCTCCATTGCAACCGGCATGCTCATGGTGCTGGCTTGGCTATACACTGTGTACTGCAATGCAAAGTGTGGAGTCACTTTCGGTAGGTGCTCGGCTCTGCACTCCTGCCAGGGACACGTCTTCCCCGTCACCCTCCCTGGGGGCCCTCTCCTGCCGGAAGCCCACTCAGGGAGATAAACTTGCCCACTGCAGTCTGCAGGCCCTGCTGCCTGCCGAACACCAGAAACCTGTTGTCCACCTGCAGTCCAGGCCACGGGACTGGACTCCTGCAGGTCCCAGGTCACTCCACGTCCCTCTCATGAGCCCCTGTGTCTGACACACTGCTGGCCCATAGCCACCTTTAGCCTCTGATGTTCTGGCTCCATGGGAGCCAAACCCACGCAACATGGCGAGGCTGGTCCTGGGCTGCTTCATGGCCAGCACCTTCGTGTCTCACTGCCTGTCCTCTGCTCATGACTGCAGATGCAGTGGTCTCCTCCTTGATTTTCTAACATCAACCTCGAGGAGGTGGCTGGCCCTGCATGCCTCTCTTCCTTTGTCCCATATTTTTAGGGTCTCCCTAACTTGCTTAAGCTTTTTTGCCACATCTACAGTATCTTGCTCACAACTAAAGCAAACTCGACCTGGATTAGCCCTTTGGGCCCCTTGCCGCCTTCCCCCTCGCTGCCTGCACTGGAGCTGCTGGCAGGGCTACTGCTTGTCAGGACCCCTCTGTTCAGGGTGCACTTCCACTGCTCCCCCTTCCACTCCTCCTGGCTCCGGGCGGGCCAGGTTGGCGGGAATTGCAGGTGGCTTGTCACCAGCCAGGACCCTGGCCCACAGGCTTTCTGCTTCTGGGAGCAGGAAGGAGCCCAAATGCCTGCTGTGGTCGGAGCCGTGCTGAGTGCTTCCCTCCTGGGACTGTGCAGGGGCTTCGAGGACCAAGGCACGGAGGGCCAGGCATCTGTGCTCCCAGGGGGCAGGAAGGGAGGCCGGGACTCCACCCAGGCCGCTGTCCACCCACACCCCCAGCCTTGGCAGCCCTCTGTCCATGAGTGCTGTCCACGGACAGTACCTTAGCGCTGGCCTCCTCATCACCTGGCTCCTCTGTCTGGTTTCCGCTCTCATCTCTCGCACAGCCACTGGCCCAGGATACCCTCTGCCTCTCTTATGCTGCACCCTCCTGGCTTCCTTGTGGCAGGGGACACCTGCCTTTCTCCTCTGCCTGTTTCTGGGATGACAGGCGTCAGCCCTTTCTGAGGCTCTCACCACCCAGTGAGCTCAAGCCCTCCCTCTTCTCAACTCTACGTCCACCAGGCAGTCCATGCCCCTCCAAATCTTTGGAAATGGGCCACTCCCTTGCTAGAGCCAGCTTCCGGGCTGTTTCTCCCCCCAGCACTAATGGTTCTCAGTCCTCTGGTGCCACCTGCTCTGCCAAGCATCTCCCTCTCCTCCTGGAGGCCCCTCTGGGCCAGGCCTGTCCTGGCCCATCTGCTTGCTGTCACCAGTAGGGCTCCCGAAAACCACGTCTATCTGTGCCACTTTCTCTTGCCAGCTCTTTCACATTTTGGGGGAAAAGGTCCAGCTCCCCAGCCCCACGTGTAACCCTAGCCGGTCCTTTCCACGAATGACACCCCTCCGGCACCAACGCCTGGGGTTGCTGTCCTCCCCTCTGCCTCGGCCTCACCCTGTACACACACGGCCCTGCCCCGTGCTGGCCTGGCCACTGCCACCTGGCCTCTTCCCTGGGCTGCCCCACACCCACGTGCTTTCCTCAGAAGTCTGAATCCACGCACCCACCTCCCACGCCATCTCTAGCACATCTGTGTGTGTCACAATGTTTTCCCTGGGCTCCCCAATGGACCTGTGTCTTGGTCTCATCTTTGCTTCCTTGGAAACTTGCAAGATTCAGCATACCCTGCATCCTGTCTCTGGAGGCTCACAGTGAGATGGGGAGGTACGGAAATATAAGTCAGTGTGATACTCGGGAGATGGTGCCGAGAGAGATGTTTTTGAAGCCAACATTTTGGCGCTTGGCTGCTCCAAGAAAAAGCCAGTGCTCGCAGCAAACTACAAACACACAGGCACCGCAGGAGGGGCCTCTTACGAGACATACAGGCCTTCAGTGAGGTGGGGGGGCCGCTCCCAGGAAGGGACAAGATGGCGGCCCCTCCCCGGGTGTCCACTGCCGCACCTAAATGAAGTTCACAGTAGCGCTTCAATCGCACGAGTCCCATCAAAGTCAGGGGAAAGAACTGCCAGGGTGTTCCATGGCTTCTTTGGGTGGATTAGGAGAAACTGTCTAGGTTAGAAACCTTCAGTGTTTTAGGACTGCAAAAAATTAATTGTGTGAGACCCTGAAAGATCACGATGAAGCTGCCACGACTGTGAGCACAAACACGACAAAGCCCTGGAGGCACCGCAGCTCCCTGCGTGTCGGCAGCCTCGTGCCGCGTGCTCCGCGTCCCCAGCATGTGCTTTGGGAAGGCCACCTGGGGAGGAGCAGAGGCAGAGGGCGCCCCCAGAACCTCTCTACCTCCTGGAAATACAGCCAGCAGGTCAACTCCAACAGGCAAACGTGGGCTGGCAGCCAAGTGCCACCCCCAGTGGTTTCATCTGGCAGTGAGCATGCTGCGTCACCCTCCAGCTCCACTGCTGAGAAGTCAGGATGAGCTCTCTCAGGAGAACGAAAAGCAAGTTCTCAGGCCGTATTTCCAGCTCTGAGGTGTTAACCCATGAAGTATTTTCCACTTGCAGACACCATACACAGAGGCAGGGGACACAGATGGACGGTCCACACAGAGGCAGGGAGTAAAGGAGGGAGGGAGGTCACCAGAGCTCCAAGGCCACACCCCACTTGCATTCGTTCTCTCCACAGACAGTTTAAGGAGCAAGCAGCAGGAAGAGACAAGGTTATACGGGGAAACTCAGGAAATGAGCTCGGTGCATGTTCAGAAGGAACATCTGATGCAGTTGGTAGGGAAACCAGGCCACATGCCACACACACTATGCAATGGCCAGCTCTTCCTCAGCTGTGACGTCAAGTTTAGGGCTATCAAAGACATACAGTTGCGAGTGCCATTCAGCTTTCCTATGGTTTACAGCTCTTGACTGTAGTTTGATCAATGGGAATACAGGCCAAATGTTGTTATATAGGTAACATACCTATATAACACTGTATATACTGTTAACTTTATTTTCATGTATCACTTTTTTTTTTTTTTTTGGTACCGGGGATCAAACTCAGGACCTGGCGTTTACAAGGCAGATGCCGGAACCACTGAGCTAAATCCCCAGCCCGTCATGTATTACTTTTTATTAAACACCAGAGATGAAAAAGCCTTTATCCCAATTTAATTATGTATACCACTCACCAAGAGAAGTAACTGTTTAGTAAAATATTCTCTTCTCTGGTGAGTTGAGGCAAGTCTGAGACTTCTTAGTGTGTCAGATTCACACAAATGATTATCATTAAGTGTCACTGTTATAACCAGGGATAAGGAAGACATGTGCATAAAACAATGCTCTGATCATTTAGACCCACGCGCATAAACCCGAAAGCGCACAGCAGCCCTGGGTTAGCCCGAGCTGCTCCCATGCAGGGACCAGCTGGCTAACTGGCAGCTCCAAAGGTGTGACCAGCTGCAGGGTGCTGCACCAACCTGCTAGGGTGGAAGAAGGGTTAGTGCTAGCGGCAGAATTTGGTTAATTTCAAGAAAAGAAGACATCAACTTCATACTTCATCTATTTAAAACTGAATTTCCTTTCTTTTAGAAATAACTTGATATTAAAAAGAAAGGGAAATGTGGTTTTACTATGGCATCTAAGACACTGGAGAAAGAAAGCAAATTACAGTTTTGGAGAGGTTATATCCTGATTTCCTTTTTACCACAGTATTTTTTTTTTTGGTAGCAGGGATCGAACTCGGGTCCTTGTGCTTGCAAGGCAGGCAGCAGAACCACTGAGCTAAATCCCCAGCCCATACCACAGTATTTTTAAGATTAGTATCTTATTTAAAAATCAGAAGAAAAAAATCCATCAATTCTGTGGTAAAAATGTGGATAAAGAAAGTACTTGTCCAAGAGGAGGATTACAAAGTTGAAAAGTATTCTTTTATTGTAGACATTTCCATATACAATGTTAGTGAAATTGACCCCCTGCCCCCTGGTGACACATACCCCTAGCTTATAAATATCCAGGCAACACCCCTGACAGGTCATGTTACTCTCTTTTTTAGTACCTGGGGATTCGCTTTGGCTAGATTTTCTATTTTAACCCATGCTTCTTCTCGCTCTTTCATTTTTAGCTTCTCTCTGAAAAACAGTAAAATGTCACTTGTGTTAGAGATGAATCACATGCAAGGGACACACACAGGAGCACGGACGCGCTCGGCACCCCGAGACCTCTCTCCTGTCCCTTCCGGCCACTCCACATGCTCACAGCACTGCTCACAGCGGACACAGTGTGCAGAATGAGCTTAACTGGCCAAGACTTAGAGAAAAAGATTTTAAAAAGTAAAAGCCCTACATATTTATTTAACTAGTCTAATAATTTAAATTCTTCAAAAAAAATCTTATACAAGTGAATCTTGTTTTCATCTTTCTGATTATTTGCTTCTTCATAGGTAATTTTTTTTAGTATTTTTAAATTTTATTATTTAAAAAATTAATTTTAATGGTACATTTCAGATCTACATAATGATCACAGTCATCATAGGTATTTAGTGCCTGCACATGATACACCTCGCTTCTTCTTTCTTCCCCCTCCCCCCATCCCTTCCACCCTTCTTCCCCTCCTTATTTACAAAAGCTTTGTTTCCATTTTTCCTTCTATTCTCTTCCCCCATTCCCTACCCGGGCTCTCCTTCCCACCTGAGCGTTCTGTTCCTATTTCACAGTATCTACGAACTAGGAGGAGTCACGTGGTCATTAATCACATGATTATGTTTCTGGCAGGGACACTGTGCTCGTCCCCTGGACCATCCCTGGGCAGATGGGTGCTCTGAAGCCCTCAAAGCCACAAAAGCAGGCCTAGACTAGACTCCCGAGGATGCCCAAGTTACGGAGCTTGCTCAATTAGAATACGACACGCTGAAATGCAGATTCTTACTGTAACACAAGTTACACACATGGTCACCTTTATGTGTCAGTCCCAATCATTAGGCTCTTGATCTCGTATACACTGTACAAAGATGATTAAACTAGAGGGGAGGGGACAGCGAACTTTAACCATGTGCTGTTTCAAAATAAGTCACAATAACTAAGTTTGAATTTGCTCTCCATGTACAAGAGGACCAGTTTTGCTCTAAAGTGAAGAACAGCTTTTTAGGACAATTCAAGATGAAGGGAAAAAAAATCTGGGGAACAGTAGTAACTTACTTCAGTTTCTCTGCTTTAAACTGTTGGGTGCAGTCATCAAATAGCTTCTGGTTCATTTCCATGAAGAGTTTCAGGGCGTTGTATATCAAGCCATGTATCGTCCTGCAAAGAAAACTTGACAATAAAACTTGGACACTGGACCTGGTTCTTCTTCCGCCCTCCCTCTGCCATAGTCCCTCCCTTCCCAAACTCTTTAGGCTGCTTCATGCACCACAGCCCTTCACTCCACTAGTTTCCTCGGCCTGGTGGGATGTGTGTGTGTGTGTGTGTGTGTGTGTGTATGTTGTATGTGAGTGACACTGAGGATGGAACCCAGGCCTTGCACACTGCTAGGCAAGTGCTCTGCTCAACCACTGAGCTGCATCCCCAGCCCTTTTTAAAAATTTTATTTTGAGACAGTTTCGCTAAGTTGCCCAGCCTGGACTCAAACATGCAATTCTCTTGCCTCAGCCTCCTGGATTACAGGCCATTTCTGTTTTCCTGAGTCAGCCACAAAATTCAGCAGGCTTCTATCAGGCTCCTCTGAGCTCAATGTCCTGGCTAGCAGCAGCCAGACCCCTACCTTGCTTAGAAACTGAATAAAAAATGTTGAAACTTGAACAAATACAATTAAGACTGAATTACACAGGGGACAATAACGGAAACACTGTATCCCTTACAAATGTGAGTTTCCTTTCATCTTACTCATGGAGGACAGAAAAGTTAATGTGAATAATGCCAGTAGTTGAGAGTGTGTCTCAACGTTGGAGGACTTGCTGATTAGCATGTTTGAGGCCTTGGGTTTGACTCTCAGCACTGTGAAAAATGAAACAAAACAAAACAAACCACCCCCAAACCAACAGAAACGAAAATGAGCAAAACTCAAATAATGCCAAAGCAGAGCTTTGGAAGGTAGAGAATAAAATTATCAAAACCAGCTCAATCAAAAGCCAGCTCTCAGACAGCACACATACTAACTGTCTGGGTCTGATTTCTGGCTTCTCCAGTTACCAGCTCCACGTCCTTAGACAAAATCCTTAACTTCCATAAAATGGGGAACCAAGAGTAGCTACCTTGTAAGATGAGAGCTACACATGCAAATGTTCCTGGAATATTGTTTGATATATATTGCCATAGGATTTGTTTAATAAAATGTAATAAATACATAACTTGTTTTAAGAACCTCTCCAAAACTAGCTGTCTGGCTTGAGGCACATGGAGAGGGACCAAGGCCCTGTGTCCCTGGGTGCAAGCTGAGCACCCATGCGTGACAGGAAGCAGATCCCGGTCCACCTCACATGGTTTGGGCAACAATACAAAAGCAGTTAAAAAATAAGCAAGCAGGGCCGAGGATTTAGCTCAGTGGTTCCGCCGCCTGCCTCGCAAGTGCAAGGTCCTGAGTTCCATCCCCAGTACCAAAAAAAAAAGCAAGCAAAACCCAAAGGACTTTATTCCAAATCCTAATACTTTTGATCGACTTTATAATGAAACACTTAGCAATGACAGTGCCAAAGCCAGTTACCAGTTGTGTGTCTGCATCAGGCCACACACATACTGCATTACATGGAGAGAGCACAACTCTGGGCCTCGTATCACCTGCTGTGTTCACTAAAAACCCAGATGTGGCAAAGGAAACGCTGCTAGAAGCTGAAATGCCCACAGCCACCACTGTCAACCCAGTGCTCGGCGGTGGCTCCCACCGCTCCAGCACCAGGGCTAAACCTACAGCTCTGAAGCCAGTGCCAACACTTGCTAGGGGCCTGCCACACACCAGGCGCTTTATGGGCATCGGCTTTCTTTAATTCATTTTCAACTGAAGGTGGTGGGAAAGGAAAGCACTTTATATATACTAATATCACCCTAATTAACCAACCCAACACTGTGGTGGGTTTCCAGAGGAGGAAGTGGCTGAGGAAGACCTGGAGACCTGCCCGCCCAGGCCCGGCAGTCACGAGAGCCAAGCCTGCCTGGCTCTCATCTGCCATCTCTGTCCTCCTGGCGCCCATGCTCAGGGGACTCTGGACTCACTGCTGGGACCAGGCCTGCTCCGTGGCCTGGCTGCCACCACGTGGCTTCTCTGGGAGGGAAGCAGGCAGCCTGCAGTTTGGGCAGGCAGGACAGAGGTGCTCGGCCCTCCCAGTTCTGCTTTCCTGTCTGCGGGATGAGGGCAGGCTCGATACCATATCTCTGTGCTTCCTGCTTTCACCTGTCATTTACGGTGAAAATGCACAAGGTGGGTGAAACACCCTGGAGCCCACATTCATTTGAATGATCTGAGTATTAAACACGACCTGGTGCCCACAGGGATAGTTTCCTTTCAAGGTCTCTGAAGGTGGCCCTGGATTGGCTCACTTCGGCATCCTCATTAGGTGGAGTGGGACAGAAGTGAACAGCAGACTCCCTGGGCTGTGTTTGAGTCACTGCTCACCGCTCCACCCTCCTGTCTGAAGGCAGTGCCCACAGCAGGCGGCCTGGGTTCTCACAGGACTCCTGGGATGGGGTGCAGGGCTCAGGGACTGGCTGGGAATCGCTGGGCGGCTGCTGTGGTCCTGCTGACACTGAGCCATGGGAGCTCCACGGTGGCCTCAGGAGAGGCCTGGAAGGTGGTACAGACCAGGGGGCCTCTGTGTGGGCATGCAGCGGGCGGGGAGCACAAGAGAAGGCCACACGCACAACCACACTGCCATTTAACTTAAAAACCTCAAAGAAATCAATCACTTAAAAATAGATATTAACATTTGAATTTTTTTTTTTTTCTCTTAGTACCAGGGATAGAACTCGGGACCTTGCGCTTGTGAGGCAGGCACCGGAACCACTGAGCTAAATCCCCGGCCCTAACATTTGAATTTTAATTTTGATTACAGTAAAGGTAAATCATGCAACATCTAATAGCCAAGAAAGATAGCTCCTTCTTTCTTACTTGTTCCAATGGGTCTTGGAGTTGCGGTATAGGGATGGAAACATGATGGGCAGGATCTTTGCTGCGTTGTCACTGATTAAGCTCATAATGTATTCATTGTTCCAGTAATACAGCGCTCGCTCTGCCACCTGCAAGACAGGGGCGCGACCTCGGTGAGCATGTTAAAGGTACTGCTATGCACATCTTACTGGGAAGCCTGCAAACGGGACCATCACGCCTCCTTGTAATTCCTGTAATTTCTCCCATATCCAGAAATCAAGAACATCATCATTGGTTTCACTGTTCCGTGAACATTTATGCTCAATACCAGCCTGGATACTGGGGATACAAGTCACTGCCCAGCACCTAACACCTGTCTATGTGGTCTCTGCTGTGAGATGTGGTGTGGTGAACAGAGGATGGCGATTTTCTAGTTTACTAGAGACCAGAGTCCTGTGAGAGGCAGTGCACGCGGTGGGAAGTGTGGCTTCCTCCCGGAGGTGGTGCATTGAGCCACACCCTGCGACATCACGGAGGGCAGCAGAGGAGCAGCCAGCTGGGGCCAGGGCAAGGCCACATCCCGGGCTTCCTCCCCCATTCTGTCTCCCAATCAGACAGCAGGCAGAGCCGCTCCCCGCCCAACCACAGGCTGACACCATGGGCTGCTGGAGGGACACAGAGCACAGGAGGACAGCATTCCTGCCACCAGGAGTCTAGAGACTGTGATCACAGCGTGGTGGTGCAGGAGGAAGCCCAGGGAGGTGGGTGAAGCTCAAGAATTGGGGTCAGCTCCCCAGAGGATGTGAAGGGGGAGCTTCGGAACACTGGGGTGAGCCTGCTGGAGGAGGGGGAGGGTCTGAAACTGCAGTGCGTGAGGCAAAAGAGAAACACTGGCATTAACAGTTTCTGGGATAATTCTTATTTAAGAGTTTTGTACTTTCAAAAAGTATCTGTCTGCCCATCCATAAATAAATATACATAGAGGGAATATTTAAGCTTGATCTAGAAAGCAGAAGCCTAAGATGCTTGATGGCCTGAGTTTTAAATTCTGCTTCTGTTTTTTTAACATCAGCTTTTTTTTTTTTTGTGATAGAAAAATGAAGAATGAGCTGGCCTCACATGTATGCTTTTGGAAGTTCTGGAATGTGCTTTGTGCTGATCTGAGTCCCCCAAGAAGCAGAAGCCAAGATAGGACCCCACACTGGGGAGCCTCAGAGAGGAAGAACGAGGCGGCCCGGCAGTGATGGAGAGGCCCAGGGTCCCTGCGTGGCTCCCTGGACCAGGGCCCCATGTGCTGCTCACTCTGTCCCGGGAGGGGCCCAAGAGGGACAGCAGGCCCTGTCCCACCCACGCACTCCTTGCAGTGCAGGCACAGCCCCTCTGCTTCCCACCACAGGCTCCTGTGAAAAGTGCACTGGGTGACGCCACCCATCCCTGTCTTCCCCGGGGAACACACCATCCCCTGCGGTGGTAGCTACTTGTGCAGCTGGGAGGGGGTTCCAGTTCTCAGAAACTTGGCTCTTCTTGGCTCCCTGGGGTGCTGATCCCTCAGCTTCTACGGCTGCTGCTCACCCCATGAGTTTTGAAAACCACGACTTTCCTGTCCAGGAATTGTAAGGCGAAGACACCCAGTGTCCCCTCCCCAGCTGCCCCCCGCCCCCCAAGCGAAGCGCTCATGGCCCTGAGCTTGCTCACTCACAGGCCACATGCGGTGCTTCCCCAGTGGGACCCTCTGTGCCTGCTTTCCTGCCATCCCCATGAAGGCCTGGGCCACTCACATGGTCCTGTGAGAGGAGGGAAGCCAGCAGGTCCAGCTGGGTAGGGCCCGCATGTGCCAGTGCAGGGGAGGCTGAGGCCTGCCTGCGGGAGAGGGAGCGGAGGGGCATAGTGGGGAGTGACCGGCTGGGCTGCCCTGCATACAGGAATGTGGAGTGAGAAGACTTAGAAATACTGTTTAGAGAATGGGGACACAAATTCCTCAGATGCCAGAAACAAAGAGCTTATGAAGGGAGAGAACCCCAGAGCAAGAGGGGTGCTCTACCACTGAGCACATCCCCAGCTCTTACTGTGAGACAGGCTCTCATTAGGATGCCAGGCTGCCCAGGGTGGGCTCAAACGTGGGACCCTCCTGCCTCAGCCTCCCAGAGTGCTGGGGTCACAGGCCTGCGCCACACATCAGCCCAGAGCTGGAAGCCTTCATCATCACACCGTCTATGATTAATACTGATAATCAGTTGTGGAAGATGAGGTCACATGGATGTGGAGGAACACTGAGCCTGAAGACAGACAGCTTCACAGAGAAGCTAAGCTTTTTAAAATTTTAATGTTTACATTTTGTTGTACTTGAGATTGAACCTAGCATCTCCAGCATCCAAGGGAAGGGCTTTTGTCACCGAGCTACACCCCCAGACCTTTTTATTTTGAGACAGGGTCTTGCTATGTAGCTCAGGCTGGCCTTGAATTTGCGATCTTCCTGCCTCAGCTTCCTGAGAAGCCGGGATTACAGGCGTGTGGCACCATGTCTGTTGAGAAGCCGTGCTGAATCATTCTTATTGTGAAAAATATTTTCAGTCAGAACAAACAGGATATTAAAGTCTATTTAACAGGATTAAAGTTTTATCATCTAGTCTTAAAGTATGCGTTAAAAACATGAATTTTACCTTTAAATTGCATGAGAAACAAACCAGGACCAGCTGTGCCCTAAACTCTTAATTTCCAAGTGAACAAGCTGAGTAATGTAATTATCGTCCCCAAACCCACATACCTGGAAGTGCGGGCTGGAAACACATTTGGCTAATTGTCGGAAAAGAGGCTCCATGATCTTCACGAATTCGGACGGCTCGATGACATCTAAAATTTCTTCTAATTCATTTAAGAACATTACTTCTTTCGGACTGTGAGTCTTTGGCCAGTATTTGAGAAGTGCCATGACCACCTTTGAAAGAAGCAGCAGAGGCAGTGACGGTGTGAAGGGTGGGAAACTGTTTCCCCCAGGTGTCCCCACTGCAAAGCAGCAGAGAGGACCACAGATTCGGAAACCAGCCATCAGATAAGCAGGTCTAATTTTATATGGTCTGGAATCACGGTTTTGTTTTGTTTTGAGATAGAGTCTCTGCTTTGTAGCCCAGGCTGGCCTTGAACTCATGGTGATCCTCCTGCCTCAGCCTCCTGAGTGCTAGGATTGCAGGCATGCGCTCCATGCCTGCCCTGCAATCACAGTTTTAAATGACAGGACACATTCTTCACATTCTTCCTGACCAAATGCCATTTCAGTAAGCCAGCTCCTCTGGGTGGGTGGTGCTGGGGAAACCAGGGCCTGCTGTATGCTAGGCAAGTGCTTTACCACTGAGCCATGTCCCAGCCCCAGTCAGTTTGTTTAATTAAAAAGGAAAGAAAGAAAGAGAGAGAGAGAGAGAAAGAAAGAAGACAAAAAAATAAGCAGATCAGAGGTGGTGGTGCATGCCTATAATCCCAGCACTTGGGAAGCTGAGGCAGGAGGATCACTGTGAGTTTGAGGCCTGCCTGGGCTCCAAATGAGTTCAAGGTCAGGCTGAACTACATAGTGAGACCCTGTCTCAAAAAAAAAAGCAAGAGAATTAGCAAAAGTAAAATCAGGGGTGATCATGCAGAGCACATGAGTTTGTGTATGTGTTCTAGTGTGGAAGTAGCCAGTTTTGAAACTGTTGGCAACATATACATACACCCACAATTCATTTTTTCATTTTTCAAATAAACTGACAGTTCACATGTGTGTACACATAAACACACACACATATGTGCATACAGCAGACACCACAAGGAGAGCTGTGAATGCAGCTGTTGTTAACACACCTGCATGTGCCTCAGTGGGAGGAAACTGTGATCAGGCCCACCTGGCTCTGGCAGGTGTGAGCGCTCACAAGGGCTGGAAGTGCTCACTTGGGGGAGATCCGGTGGGCGTGGCCTCAGTGGGAACAGCATCACTCAGCGTGAGATGCCTTCAACCGGACCATGTGGCCACCTAATTCGTGATATCCCATGTTATGCTGTTTGCCCAAGTCCCACAGCTAGAAAGAGTTTCTGTTGGGTAATCTTTCCTTTTTTATTTGTTCCTCTAATTTCTAAATACCCTATACAATCAGACAAGTAGAAAATACTGGATCTGACTCAATGTAGAGTTTGAATATCTTAGGTTTAAAAAAAAAGACAGTGATCTCAACAGGCATTTACAGGCACAGGTACATATTTGCACACATGGTTGCACAAGTAAAATCAGTAATTTCGCTGCAGTTGTTCCATCTGGTCGCAGCAATGTCCGGAAGCCCCGCCCTGCATCAAGACTGTGACTACCCTGGAGTCCCTGCCCATGACAGCTCTGGGGGACAGGCTGGCCTCTTTCACTCATGCATCATTTCCAGCCTGGCAGATCCTACCAACTCTTGCTTAGCAGTCCCCCTTAGTGGTTAAAATCAAGGTGAGAACTTAAAAAAATCCACTTAGAATAATAATTTTTTTTGGTACTGGGGATTGAACTCGAGACCTTGCGCTTGCAAGGCAGGCGCTGGAACCACTGAGCTAAATCCCCTGCCCCTACTTAGAATAATTATGTTTTGATGCTTTCAGAATTTGGGTTCTTGAACAATCTTCTATGATATTACATTGATAAAACTCCAACATTTATTTAGAAGTGCTCAGAATTTTGGTGTCTGACATAAAAATCCACAAAGGAACTGCCTAAAGAACATCATTTAAAGACTATCCTCCTACTTGTATCTCAAAATTAATAAATATTCAGGCCGGGGATTTAGCTCAGTGGTTCCGGCACCTGCTTTGCAGGTGCAAGGTCCTAAGTTCAATCCCTGGTACCAAAGAAAACCCCCCAAAACATTTATTGAGTACCTGTTCTATGCACCTGAACCTGTTAGGAATACAGATGATGTGGGCACTTCCTAACTCACTGCTCATTTTCCTTTGTATGAGAAAGAAATATGCTTATTTGTGAGCTATACAATCCAGCTATTAGCTGCTCCATGCCGCTGGGAAGGTGTTATTTCTGGAGTCAGGTCCCACACTGGACTTGTTCTCACACTGTTTGGAACCACGGTCCCAATGCCAATGATCTTTGCTGCTCCGGAGGCCATGCAGTGGACAGTGGCTGCACGCTGAAGCTGTGGCTCCAGGCCCAGCCCCTCTGGGAACTCAATGGGCTGCCTGCTCCCTGGAGGGAGGGCAAGTCTGGGTGGCCCGAAGGTGGCCCACCTCCAGCCCTGGGGAGACTCTGCCCTGGCTCTCCCTGCAGGTGAAGAGACACCACTGTATTCCATGAGCTCTGCCGTGGGCCTCTAGTCATTCAACAGTAGTCAATGTTTCATGTGCCCAGAAAGCTTGAGTCTAGCACACAATGTCTAAATGAAAAGCACTAATTACAGACAATAAAAGGGTAACAAATATCCTTTATAGCCCCTCCCCCTTTGGTACCTCACACTGAACCCAGGACTTCAGAATGAGCTACATCTCCAGGCCTTTATTTGGAGAGTCTAAACTGCTCAGGGTGGGCTTAAACATGTGATCCTCCTGCTTCAGCCTCCCAGAGTGCTGGGATTACAGGTATGTGCCACACATAGGTCATACTCTCCAAAAGTATTCCTGAGCCCTGCTGACTCTAGGAGCCCCACTGGGGTAACCTAGGGCCACACCTGCATACCACATGGATGCCCACTTTATGAGAGCCTGATCAGCTTTGCTGCCGAAGTCAGACAGCATGGCCTGTCCACTCGAGGGCCCACTGTTCAGCCCTGACTAGGGACGACGTCTGACAGCATAAGGTGAAGCCGGTAGACCTTATGCTGGTGAGAGAAGCTGGGCACAGAAGAAAGCGACCGACTTGTTCTGCTTTCACAGGGAACCCAGTGTGCTCGAGTTCAGAGGCAGGAAGCCCGGTGAGCAGGTGCTGGGGGATGAGGGCAGGGTGAGGCCATTGAGGGCACAGAGTTTCTGTCTGAGATGGCGATGTTTTAGAGGCTGTGGTGACGGCTGCACAACACAGAGACTATAATCAAGGCCACTGCACTGCACACATAAAATGGTTAAAAAGGCAAATTTCATGTTATATATGTATATATTTTACCACAATTTTAAAAAGTTAATAGTGGGCTGGAGATTTAGCTCAGTGGCACTGCTCCTGCCTCGAAAGCACAAGGTCCTGAGTTTGATCCCTGGTACCCCCCCCAACCCCCCCGCCAAAAGTTAATAGTGTAATATATCAAAAACTTTTGAATTGTACACTTTAAACAGGTAAAGTGTAGAGTATGTGAACCATACCTCAATAAAGCTGATTTTCTTTTTTTTTCGGTACTGGGGATCAAACTTAGGACCTTGCACTTGCGAGGCAGGTGGTGGACCAACTGAGCTAAATCCCTGGCCCAATAAAACTGATTTACAAAAGTGTATTGAAATGCTTAAACTGGCATGTGACATACCTGATTTTTTTTTTTTTGGTACCAGGGATCGAACTCAGGACCTTGCACTTGCAAGGCAGGCAGCGGCACCACTGACCTAAATCCCCAGCGCCCTGATTTTTATTAATCTTGGCTACCATAGCCTTTTGAATATTTTTAATAAAGATAAAAATGCCAAGAAAAGGAGAGATCCAAAACCAAATGGTAGCTCTTCCTGTGATCCACTGATTATAAGGCAGTGTTACATTCTATCTTGGAAAGACCTTTCTGGGTGTTAATAAGCTCTTTTTAGTAAGGCAAGCACTGCACCCCTCCCTGCGATGCCTCTGACTGGAGGGGGGACGCTGCCACACCAAGTGGGAGCAAGGGGCTCCACTGCACACAGGCTGGGGGGACAGTTGCTTAGGCACTCTTCATTCCAAGGGCATGGGCATGGCATGAGAAGGTGCAAGCCTACCACACAGATACTCAGAAAAGGAGTCTGTAGAAGACTGCCGCCCTTAGAGAATCTGCAGCACACGATGAACTCAGCCTGCTTACGAGTGCTAAAACTCAACATGAAGAGCTGCAGGGCAGCCTAGTGACACATGGGGAAGCACATGCGTCTGTATCCACGGTGGGGCAGCGCACACTTACTGGCTCGGTGAGGGTGCTGTCCTTCTCCAGAAACTGCACGACACAGTAGGCCAGCTGGAACGAAACAGGAGGAGGAGCATTAACTCTTGACGTCACCATGGGCCAGTCACTGTGAGACACACTCCTCGAGCCAGACAGCCCAATGTGGCCCAGCAGGTGCCACCTGCCCTGGGAGGCTCTGCATGGGACTGGAGGGGCCCTGGGGCCTGAAGCTCAAGCAAGTCAACCCAGTGCAATGAGATTTTTCTTGTGAAGATTAGGATGAGCAAGTAATCTAACAGCTGGAAAAAAACAAATTAAAATCTGGTTCTGTCTTAAATTTCTCAACTATTAATTCCTTTAGTACCACAATTAATATGATAACATACTGGCTGGGCATAAAAATATTACCAGTTAATAGCAAATGGAGAAAATAAGTAAAATATATCCCAGGAAGCCAATGTCTTGGATCAATCACAGCATACACTTTCTGTCCTTCACCCCACACTGCCATCTCCCAAAGTGAGGCCTGGTGGGGTGCAGTCCTGTGTGCTTTGAACACGATGCAAGCCAGCCAGGATCAGCTAGGTGACAGCTAAAAGTGACAAACACACTGCCACCACTTGAGGTGGGAGCCCAGAAGCTGCAGAGTGCTGCGTCAGACTAGCTAGGTCCTGTCTAGGAAAGCATGAAGGGGACCCACGTCTCCTAGGTAAACACCCAACTAACCAGGCAGTAACCGCTTACCAGCTTACCAGTATAATTACAGGAGATTCCAGCAGCTTCCAAAACCTGCTTGCTTGCTTTCTTAACTGTGTTACAAGACATTTCACTGGCTATGACCAACAGCCTTTTGTCTCTAGGCTGCTGGTTTTAAATTTCTCCGCAGAAAAGCTACACCCCGGAGAAGCTCCAGACTCCTTCAGAGCCAGCCAACCCCTTCTCCGGGCCAGGACTAACATCACAGTTCTGTATCAGACAATGCTCTGTGCCCCGGGATCACTTCTGCCATTGCCAGCAGCTCCCTACGAGTGCCTACCGGGCCCGAGCAAGTGCACACTCCCTGTGGGCAGCTGGCTCTGGGTCAGCGCTGCCTCCCTTACCTGGGGGTGGTAGACACTCAGTGATTTCACCTTGTGCAAAGGCAGTAACACCTTCAATAAGAAAATCTTGTGCTCTTCTTTTAACGGTAAGGCAAATCCATTAATTATACTGTGAAGACAATTTATTCAAAGTTTGAGTATTTACAAATTTTACATCAAAATCAAATGTCATTTGTTTTTTTCTGAACCTTGAGCTGCTAATGCTTACTGAATTCCCAAAGAAGCACAGGTGAAAAGTGCTTGGAAGATATTTACCTTGGAACCCTGTTTGGCAAACAGTGGTTAGGGGGCCTAATGTAAAACTGATAGCTTGTCAATTATAAAAAATATTAACAAGCAAGAACTTTCTTCAGATTAAGATGATGGAAATTCTGAAACGTTAATTGTAAGTATACATATGGAAAATCTATAAAGTGGGCCAGGAATTTAGCTCAGTGGCTCTGGTGCTTGCCTCGCAAGTACAAGGTCCCAAGTTCGATCCCAGGTACCAAAAAAAAAAAAAAAAAGAAAGAAAGAAAAATCTATAAAGTCAAAGCAATTTGGAATATTAGCATTTACTCAGTACTGCAAATGTGTTATAATCTATTCTTCTAATAAGTTTCTCACATGAACCTTCTTATGTAACTATTTTTAACACTGCTCCTGAGGAAATAACTGAAATTCCAGTTTCCATAGCAATGACACTGAGGTGTGCGATCTACCTATGGAACCCTAATGAAGAGATCCGTCATTGGGTCACTGGCCACCAGCTGGCAGAGACTTACCTTCCCAGTATCTCCAGTAACTCTGCTATGCCATTGTGATGCTCTGTTTCATAAATAAACCTAGAAAAAACCAATTTGTCTATGAGAATCAGACCCTGAAATAACGTCTGGAAGACTGAAGTCCTCTGGATAAGAAGGGTAAGCCTGCGGGAGGAAAGTGGGGCAGCAAGCAGCAAGGGTCCCTGTGAAAACCGCCCAGGGCTGGGTTGCAGCTCTGGGATAGAGCTGGCCTATCACGAGGGGATTCAGGTTTTGCCCGCAGTGCTGTGCAAAACAAATAACCAAAAATGAAAACAAACAAACCAACCAACCAACCAGCCCTTCAGGGGTGGCTGCTCACTGCCCAGGGAGCCCCTCGGGAACCCAGTAAGGCCTCCACGCCTGGAGACGCACATGCCTCAGTGGCAGAGGGCGAGTCTTGCTCAAGCTCCTTCCCTGGACTTTAATTACAGTATTTTTAAGTTTTTGTTTTGAGTTTTGAGACAGGGTCTTGCTATGTGGGCTCAGAACTCTCTACACAGTCCAGGCTGGCCTTAAACTCACAGTCCTTCTGCCTCAGTCTCCGTAGAGCTGAGATTACAGGTGTGAGGCACTATACCTAGCTCCAGCATTTTATTTTGAAAGATTTCAAGTATACAGAAAAGTGTTAAGAATTTTACTGTGTATACTCATATTTCAGCCATCCAGACCCAATCATTTACAATTCTCTCTATTCGTTCTGTTATGTATATATATATCTCCCATCTATCCATTAATCCACCTAATTTTTTGCTGCATTTCAATACAAGCTCATGTCTTATTCAGTTTTAAAGCTCTCAACATTGAGCACAGTTGCTGCAAAAAAGAAAGACGCTCTCTCCCGTACACCACTCACTTCCCCGCTGACATCGCCACGTCCTCTGAGCTGACTCTCACATGACTTCCGGGGTGCCCATCTGCCCAAATTCCTGTCCTCTTCCTCACAGCAGACTCTTCCTGCTGAGCTCCCGAGCCATGTACCCCGCTCTCTGTGTCAGCAGTGGGACAAGGACTTCTCATTACTGTGTTCGTGGTGCCAGGACCAAGCCTGGCATGTTTGATGCCTAAGACACATCTGCTGAAAGAACTGGGGAAGAGGCAAGGGGGCAGGGACACATCAGGAAGAGGAAAACCTCTTCCCCCAGAAGGAGTCCCTCAGAAACAAAGCCCGCTCGCCCCTCAGCCAGGCACATGTGGCGTCAGTTGGCCCTGACCATGCAAAGGACGGGTGTGCAGTCCGGGACGTGCTGGGAAGGTTTCTGGCAGCACAGGAACCTTCACTCAGAGAGAGCTCTCACCTAGAAGTAACTCTGTGAAGGTTAAGACACCTGTGAAATGTCACAGTCCCCATTCGAAAGAAAAAGAGCAGTGACCTTACAGTAAAGAACAGGCGAACACTCATAGACAGGAAGCAGGTGTGAAGATGGGGTCTGGACATTTCTAGGTCCCCAAATGGCCAGGATCCATGCAGGGGCCATGGCTTGAACTGAGCCCCCAAGGTAGGTTTCTGACAGATTCACAAAGATGGGGCACAAAGGAGGTGCATAAAATGGGGTGGAGAGGGGCAGGCAAAGTGCAAGGCCACGGGGTGAACTGAGACACAGCCCACGGGCATCAGGGCCACTGAGCAAGGAAACAGAAACAGATGCCAGCATGGTGGCGCATGCCCGTGATCCCAGCACTCGGGAGCCTGGAGAGTGCTGTGAATTCCAGGCCAGCCTGGGTTTGTGACCAACCTGAACTACATAACGAGGCCCCATCTCAAAAATAAAAACAAAACAACAAAAAAAAAAAGAAAGAAAGAAAAAGAGAAAGAAAAAAAGATGCAGCTGGCCGTAGCCTGGAAGCGCAGCAGGGAGGGTCCTGTGAGGGAACTGGCAGCGAGCTGTGCAGGAGGAGCCTTCACAGTTGCTGGAGCTGCAGGCCACCTGGCTTCCTAACCAACAGGACTACGTTTCTCCGGATGGATTCTTATTTGTCAGTTATTCTAATTCCATCTGAAGTAGTATAAGAAAGAGAAAATGAGAAGAGTTCTCCTCCTTGCTTTTCCAAAGGAGACCAAACGGGAAGGAAGCGTGGCGCTCCGTTCAGGGCAGCCACCGGGGTGCTCCCTCCAGCGGAGGAGGAACCAGACCCCTGACAGCAGGCTGGAGATGACCTTCACAGCCTTTCTCCCTGTGATGTACTCCGCAGCTCACACGAAGAGGTGGGCTGTCTCCCCTCCCAGGTCTGCTGTCCCTGAGATCTGCCTTACCAATGCAAGGGGTGGAAGCAACCTGCACCAGGCCCAGCTGAGCCCTCGACTCAGACAGAGGACGGGTACCTTCAGTGGTCTCCCTGCCAGAGGCAGTGGTGGCCTGCAAGAAGCCACATGCTCCGATGCCTGATGCTCATGCAGCCCAAGCATGTCACCCACAGGCCATGTGGACAGAGACCCCAGCGGGGCCACGAAGCATGAGTGTCAAGTCCCCATGGACAGCCCAGGCCTAGCAGACACCATGCGGAGTGGAAGGGCCAGAGTCCAGGGCAGGGACAGGGCTGTAAGAGCAGCAGATGGTGATGCAAGGCCTGGGCTGGAGATAGCACAGCAGGGGCCTCGCCCGCTCACTTCCGCATTCACCCTGACCAGAGTGAGAATGGAAACACCAACGCTCTCAGAAGGTGAAACCAGCACATTTAAAATGCCTTTCTTAGCTGGGGATGTAGCTCAGTGGTGTCGCTGCCTGCCTCGCAGGCGCAAGGTCCTGAGTTCGATCAAAATGCCTTTCTTACAAGGTACTGCTGAATAGGCAGAGAACTCTCAACCGAAATGCTAAGGACCTGTACAATCTTCAATGCCAGGATTTTTCAGATGTTAGAACATTTGTGTGTGCGCATATTTTTTTCTCTTTTTTTTAAATCTCAGGGATGGGACCCAAGTTGAAAGCTGAAATTAATACAGGTTTCATTTATGCCTTTTATATACAGCCTGAAGGTAATCTTACTTTTATACAGTACTTCTTGTGTGCGTGTGTTCAGACCATGACCTAAACATGGTATCAGGTATAGAATTC